TGTCATAAACTATTAGTTAATAATATGAATTTATCTTGCCTCTGTGTAAAGCAATCATTCTCCATGCCAGGTGGCGCTGTGGTGCACTGCTCAGCAGGCATTGGCCGAACTGGCACCGTGCTCTTAGTTTTGCTGATGCATGAGATGCTGACCATCAATGGTGACGTTGATCCCGTGCAGGTCCTGAGACGCCTGCGCGAGTGTCGTGCACGACTGGTGGAGAATCAGGCCCAGTATAACTTCGGTCTCGAGGTTTTTGATGAAATCCTCTATGGAGCACAGACAATGACTGCTCCGTCTATGCTAGCTACTGCACTACCACGCCTTCTGCAGGACAGCCACACTCTGTACGCGAGAGCAAAGGCACTGCCAACAGGCCTGACCTTCCGCATCGGCTCTCAGGCCAGCGTGGCGAACCTGAATCGGTCCCAAGACATACTCCCAGCAGACAGTCGTAGCATTTTCCTGAACACTGGCGATGGTCAGATCTCCTCTCAGTACATAAATGCTGTGCGAATAAATGGACTTGATAAGCCAGACACTCTCATTGTGACTGAGCATCCTCTGCAAAGTTCAGTGCTGAAATTTTGGCATCTTGTAATAGAGAAAAACTGTCTTTCCGTAATACTTCTTAACTCCTTTGATGTATCTGAACAGGTAATGTTATTTCTTTATGAATAAGTATTGCATGTGAGTTTAGCACTTGTAACATACAGATATGTATCATCATTCTGCCAAATAATTTTCTCTGATTACCTCTTTAGTAAAAACTGACCAGAAGTATGAATATTCACAGATGGAGGAGTTTCCAGCTCTAATACCGGAGGATTATTCCTGCTTCACGATAGGCTCGTACAGCATCCAAACTCAACATTTCCAGGAGTACGAGGCGGTTATCCAGTATTCTCTGAGTATAACAACGGAAAAGGTATCTTAATGTGGCTCTGAGTGAATGCCAAGGTTTCTGGTTATGCTAAGAGATTTTCAATGATAGAACCTTTTCTTATAACTATAATATATATGTGATTTTCATTGTGTATGAAAATAATTGTTATTGAAAATGAAGACAACTGGGTGACGCAAACAAGATGAAATCTTCACCGTATCCTTGCATTTTTTTATGAAACGATAGTTTAGGCCTCATTTACCATGTCGATTATGGACTGATGTAGAAAAGTGAATAACTTCACAGCGCAAGAGTCATTCATCATTTTGTATACATTTGCCACAATGGACACGGTTTATTGGAACAAATAGTAATACTGAGAACTGCTGTTGTTATTCTACAGAATACAGAACACAAAGTTGTAGTGTACCAGGTGCGAGACTGGCCTCGTACCAGTGATGTGCCAAATAACCCTGCCGCCCTCCTCACTGTAGCAGACTTGGTGCTCTCTGGACCAACGAATGACGGTCCAATGCTGCTGTGTTGTGCGTACGTAACTCCAGTGGCTCATGCTTTTTCTCTGTGGATGCATGTCTGTTGGCTTTTCGGGGATCGTATGCTATTTTTTATGACCAAAATCTTTCATCTTGCCGATATTGACATGTATGGAAAGAGATTCAGGGCCCCAGAATCTCCCCTTAAAGTTTACATGGACCAACCGCAATTGCTAAGCTGGTAGCAGCCACTTTCGATATATGATTTTCACCTTCCCTTTGAGAATCGGCAGTTGTGATGTAACGATTAGATATAATAAAAATATGATTTTCAGAGAGTAACCTTCATTTTTTTTTCGGAACAATTAAGAAAAATCTGGGAAGCATTAAAAAAATAACGAAGAATTTTTGTATACAATTCAATAAGAATGATATGCTGTTCACGTAGAGTTTGTGTTTGGACCATATTTCGTCAGTTTCATTCTCCAGCAAAATGTTTTAAACATTTGCCAAATGATCTGGATGGACAACAAAATTTAATGGAATGAATTAGGCTGAGACACTCCCTGCTAAACTGTCATTAAATCTGTTCATAACTTTTTGAGTTGAAAATTAACGTATCGTGGCTTATGTTGTAGCTGAATAGATCTATTGCATGATGCAATTAGTTTTTCCATTTTTGTCTGTGCCTTATGTAATAGTGACATAAAAATGCTCCTTATCTGGTGTTCTAAAAGTCGCCTACATAAAATATTCACCAAAAAAGGTTGAAATTGAAAAAATGTGCTTCTGCCAGATGGTTCTATTCAGAAATGAGATTAGAAAGCCCATATTGTTATTATTGATAGTATTTTTTTTTTGGGGGGGGGGGTTAAAGAAATTTCCTAAGATGGTCAATTCACGCCAAGAAATGCCCAAAGCAGAGTCAAGTAAGTAGCTTTTTGTGACATTGTTCCGTGCTGGGACTTTGTGCAGGACTTCTGAATGGAGGTCGATGATGGGGATTATGTTCAGTGAAGATTGTTCTTCTACCTTTTATTGTTAATATCAAAATCATAATGAAAAGATACGGAAAACGTCAACTACCCTTATTTTGAGAGTACTTATTTACGCACGAAAGCTCTAGTACACGCATTTTTAGTCCGAAATAGAGAAGTATATATTCTTCGGAATGGTGCAGACAGTTTTTTCCTGTGCTTTTTGTAAAAGTGACGCACAAAAAAGTGACACCTAATGGCCATCTAGGTAAAATATTCCCCCAAAATAAACAGTTGAAAACGAAAAAAGTTTCCGCAAAATACCCCGCATTTAGGACGAATTTTCACACTGGTTAAAAAATAATTTCTTAGAGTTTTTACTTAAACAAAAAGTTTTCGGGTGATGGAAGAAAAAAATCTCTCGGAGATCTCGATTATGTTTACATAAAAGGGTGTGGTTTTCATCAAAAACGGCAAAAAAAAAAAAAAAAAAACAGACGGTCCCCTAAATACATACTGTTTCACTTTTTTTTCGGATGTTAATAAGGTTATGACTATCCATATGAAAATTTAGATGCCATATGTATACCAGTCATGGGCGAACCCCATTTGCAGTATATTTAGTACTTCAGATCTCAATTTCAGGTCAAAGGATAGTAGTCAAATTCGTGCAAGAAATGGCACTGGTTCACATTTATCTTGGGGCAAATGGGCTGTTTTCCCCACATTTTTTTTTTTTTTTTTACTTTTCTTTCTATCCACCATGCGATTACTATAACGACTTTCTTTTGACTTAAATTGTATGCTTAATTTCCATCATCCTGCAAGCTATTTCAGTTACATTTCACGTGTGTTGATGGCCTAAGCATTAGTTTTAAATTGTTCTGAGCCCCTTTATTAGAGTCTATAGTCATGGACTTCATGGAATCCCCCATTATCCAGGGATGGCGCCACCGCATGCGGGCTGATGGCGGGCGTTATTCTCACCGTGGAACGCCTTCAAACGTACCAGGAAGTTGATGTTTACCGCACTGTGGTAAGACTCCTGCGCTGCCGGCCGCAGTTCTGCACTTCCGTGGTGAGCCTTTTCTTGCATTTGTTAATTTTCTATTCATATGCTTATTTATTTATTCATTTATTTGCTTATTTATTTATTTATTCATTTGCTTATTTATTTATTCATCCATTTGCTTATTAATCAATTTGTTTATTCATTTGCTTATTTTTTTATTTATTCATTTGCTTATTTATTTATTTTTTCATTTGCTTATTTATTTATTTATTCATTTGTTTATTTATTTATTCATCCATTTGCTTATTAATCAATTTTTTTATTCATTTGCTTATTTTTTTATTTATTCATTTGCTTATTTATTTATTTATTCATTTGCTTATTTATCTATTTATTCATTTGCTTATTTATTTATTCATCCATATGCTTATTAATCAATTTATTTATTCATTTGCTTATTTTTTATTTATTCATTTGCTTATTTATTTATTTATTCATTTGCTTATTTATTTATTTATTCATTTGCTTATTCATTCATTCATTCATTTGCTTATTTATTTATTTGCTTATTTATTTATTTATGAATTCATTTGCTTATTTATTTATTTATTCATTTGCTTATTTATTTATTTATTCATTTGCTTATTTGCTTATTTATTTATTTATTCATTTGCTTATTTATTTATTTATTCATTTGCTTATTTATTTATTTATTCATTTGCTTACTTATTTATTTATTCATTTGCTTATTATTTATTCATTTGCTTATTAATTGATTTATCCATTTGCTTATTCATTTATTTGTTTGTTTTTGCGTTAGTATTGGGCAAGTATATCAGACTCAGGCTTACCATAAGGGAGGCCCTTGGTACCCACGCTAGCACCGGGTCAGCAGGGAGGAAGCAGGGCGCGCAGTGAGGGTGAGGGAGAAGGCCTTCGGGAGCCTGAGTGCAGGGAATGGAGGGCGTCGGTTTGATCAAAGTTAAGCAAAGAAAAGTGGCCTTTTAGTCCAATTTAGGGAAGGGAAAGTCTCTTTTGGCAAACTGAGGGGAAGAGAGGTCTCTTTAGGCAAAATTAGAGCTGGAAAAGTCTATATTCGGAAAGTGGGAAAGAAAATGCCCTCTTAGAACCCCTTAAGCATTCACCGATATTCACGTTATGTTGTAAAAATTGGTTGAAGATACACAATGTTTCTTGTGCTGTCCGTTCAAGATCCACTTCATGCATGGTAGGAATACGTTGGGTAAAGATTCATCACTTTACATGAGAAGTTGACTTCCAATGAAGAGAAAAACACTTTTTCCAAAGCCACAACACGGTAGCCCAGGGGTGTTTTCTGCGTGACCCGGAAGTACCATGCCTGAGAAGCCACAATTTTAAAAAGTTGAACGCCGTACAAGGTCCTGATACATCTTGTAAATCATTACATCATAATATTATAACACCAGGAGCCGTGTGCTGGACAGCATAGAAGGCCTGCTGCCAACTTGATCATCGGTGAGTGACGCATGAGAAAATTCTTGGATGGAGTTCTTATCTGTTGATTATGGATTATTAACGGTTTGACCAATATTTGACGCCTCTTCAGAACCAAAGTATTCGTTCAGGATTCACTTTTCTGTTTTTTCTTCGTCGAAGATTAGTTCAGAATCCTCCTGTGAAACAATAACATCGGTCAAGATTAGGTGTTGAGCCTTGAGCCCTCCCCTGGAGGTTGTGATTCATTAGTTCCCTTCTGAAATTCAGTGTCTGTCACTGAAAGTAGGGATTTATAACCCAAGTTGGTATGAAGTGCTTGTCAGCCATCAAGTTAGTATTGTGTAAGTACATATCGCGTTGGCTGTTACGACGTTCAATTATTTTATCTCGAGTTTGTTGGTTATTAAATGAACACATGAGCTTCATGTGCATCAGATGCTTACCCAATACAGGCTCCACTGACCCAGTTCAGTAGAATTATGTGGGATAAGATTAGTATCGCAAATGTTTTGGTATTTTACACATCATATTCTCTGCTAGTATAACGTCTGCATACGATCCCGCCACCTTTATTCATCATCATTACGTTGCTAATTGGTCTTTCAGCCCTGGTAAAACTATGGGTGAAGGGGGGGGGGGCATCGGCAGGGTGTTGAAAGAATTTGCACAGCATCCAGGGACCCCAGATGGAAAGGGACCCCAAGTGATGCCGAATCGTTCTACTTGATGATATATAACGTTTGTTCAGCGACGTTGCCACACCTTCACGGGAAATGGCAGAGAAGGGATGGGGATTCCTTGAGGCAACAGCACCTGTGCTTGGGTCGAGTTGATAACGGGCTCGGGGATTCCACTTGGGTCTTACTGGCGCTATCTTAGTATTACTGGCGGTGTCATTAATGATAATGATAACTGTGACATAAATAATGGTAGTAGTATGAACGGTAATGATGATAATAATGAAGATAATAATAAAAATTATTGCAAAATTGATAATCATGATAAAAATAATGACAATAATGATAATATCCTCATCACCACCACCAGTCATGGTCATTGCTTTGAAGTTTATCATCTTTAATATAAAATTTTAAAGTTTATAATTTTGATTACTGGTAACTTTAGAATTATCATTAAGATAATAATGATGATAATGTTATCATTCAAATGATGGTGATGAAGATAATGATTATATATAATAAATATGATAATAAAAATGATAATAATAATGATGATGATAATAATAATAATAATAATAATAATAATAATAATAGTAATATATAATATAATAATATGATAATGTGAATTGATTCATATAATTTTGCCTTAATAATTTTTAGCACTCTCTAAAATCACTCTTATCACATTATTATTATCAGAAATTTTCCTTGCGTCTTCCACTCGCCACCATTGCCAATCGCAATATGGTTTCTTCGCAGGACGTAACAGTGCCATGCCTTTTGTTCCAGGTCCAGTTCGACTCGCTGTACCAAGCTGCTCTGAGCTACATCGAGAACTACGACACATACGCCAACTTCAGTGGCTGAGATCGCAGTGCCTCTCGGGAAGACGAGGGAGTGAGGCTGGACAAGGATAAGAACATTTTGCACTTTACATCACTTGAGTATTTCTGAAACGAGGAACTCAGCTCTAAGTACAAAATGTCTAAGAGTAAGGAAATTCTCTCACATGAACATGAGAGAACGTACTAGGTGAAACGGAGACAAAGCAACAACCAAGAATTGCTTCATATTCATTCTATTTCTATATCTGAGGCATTGATTATCCCTTCCATATCTTCTGTGAAAAGAAAAAGAAAGAAAAAGTAATTTCCTTGTGACTCGTCGGTGCCAGACACACGAAATACTGTATTTATTAGGAAAACAACATACTAATGTCATTGTTATGGAACTTCCCATTACGAACTTAATTGTTTTAATATGTTTTTCGTTTTCTTCTTTTATTATTATTTGTATCATCACCATTATTGTTATTAGTAGTATTGCTGTTATTACTAATTCTACGATTTCCCTTTTTCTTACAGCCATTAGTTAATACATGTACGTTTATGATGACTGTAGTGCCTATTAAGTATCATTGTCATCATAACCATAATCGTCAGTAATATTATTGTAATGATAGCATACTAACCCCGAAGCAGAGTGTGAATGTAAATATATTTTTACTGTTCTTTCATAATTCCATCCACACAATCCTTTTGTACTTGTAAGGAAAAAGAAAAAAAAAGTGAACTGATATGTACCTTTCACTCGAAATGCGAAACAGGAGTAAAGGGAATACACATTAATGTCTTGATACCATTTCTTCATCTCCCGCCAGAGCGCAAAAAAAGCCATGTCAAAGAGAAATGCTTTTGTTAAAATAAGGACTTTCAGGCATTTCTTAACTTTCCAGGTCAATTATTCCCTCTTGTTAGTTGTGGACCCAGGGAGGGAGTGGGGACGGGAGGTACTGTCCTTTAGACTGACCAGTTGCGTCCATAAGGGTCAGGCTGCATTATATTGAGAAATGTATAAATAATGTAAGAGACTGTTCATATCATAGACACTTCGGACACCTTACACAGAGAGCTGGACCAGTATTATGGGCAGCCAATCACCGTCGAGCAATCTCGCGCCGCCGTCGAATTGAACGCTTGTTATCTGGTACACGATCCAGGTAACAAAGTACTTTCCGAAATTGTATTCATAATGTATTGTTTCATTTCTTTGTTTGTACATTATAAAATTTTACATTTTTGATTACTGAAAGCATAGATCCACTGATGTCAAGTTAACAGCCTTAATTACCATGAAAATAGATTTTCTTTTCAAAATGTCTTCTGAAGGGGAAAACGTTGCTGGGAAGCTACCAGTCTCCTCAGTTCTCTCTCACCCTGTGCCTGCCCACACGCGCAGGGCAGGCACAACAGTCCTGTAAAACGTGACGTTACAAGCGAGTAAATATACAACGGGAAAGTATTTGTTTATTTTTGCCCAGTTGTTATGTGATATCTCTAACCGTGGCCGCCGACCACGACCATGCTCGTGTGACTACCATCTCCCGGCTCCCGTCCCCAGTGCTCACCCTCTTGTATTATTATGAGTGGCCTCCTCCCCTACTGGATCCTTCTACTCATTTTTTAGACAGTGTAATGAACTTGTACTGTATGGGAATAAAATGTAGTTGTTTTCTTAAATTTATTCGATCTGTTACCTTGAGCTTTGTATAACCAGAGCACTATTGTGCATGTACTCAGCAAACTTTGTGTGTGTGTGTATTTGTTTGTTTGTTTACATATGTGATTGCAAGGAAAGAAAAATAATAAGCAAAATGAGAAATAGGATAAAAATATATATCCTTGCAAAATGAGAAATAGGATAAAAGCATTATATCTTCGTGCTAAACTATATCATGTTTCCTCTTTACCAGAAGGTTGTTACTTCAAAGAATAATTACAGTCCACAAAAATTTATTTTTTGGATCTTCTGTATCAAGTACAGTATGAATATTAATTCAGCTACATCTAGTATATAAAAAAGAAGATGAACACACTCAAATAATCAGAAAATACCATCTGTAATATAAATAATCAAAGAGTTATACATTGCATGACTATTTGGGAAAAGTTCATTCTTAAACTATAAGATTCCAAAAGCAAAAGTCAATTAACTATTCAGAAGTAACTTTACCTTAACACTAAATAATTAATTCCATTTCTCTAAATTTTCCCTTCATCTTTTTTACAGATATAACAAAAAATGTATGGTATAAATAAATGAGACTAAGATAAATGATATGAACACACATCAAAGTATACATATGTATAAAGCATACAGAGCAGATATGGAATAAAAAACAGGTAATCATGAAAAGGGAGGTAATCCCCATAAGAAGTATTTGAAAATCATTCATTCCCAATTCCATCAAACAAGTAAACTTTGAATGGTTATGTATATAATGTTTTTCTTTTCTTTTCTTCTTTTTTATTTCCAATAAGACATCAAATATTATAGCTCAATATACAATAACATTTCAAATCATATGTTCTTTATCGTATATCATAGTGAAATTTCTTTGTCTGTCCAGAAAAAACAGCATAAAAGATCTGCAATATTTGTAATTTGCATTAATTTCTAAAATTGATATATTTTTGTTTTTCATGTTTTGGAAGTCATTTACAAAATTTATCTCCTTATATGATAGCACCTCACTTCCAAGGTCATATTAACAATTACACTCTACTTCACAATCTAAGATCGCTTTATATGGTAAAATTCATTGTACTTATGTTATAAAAACTTAATCACACATAAAATTCTGTTCCCAAATCCTAGCCGTCAATTTCCTGTTTATTCACTCTCTCAACAGTTTTGCATCTACTATTTGACCCTTTGAGCCAGTTTATTTAAAATTTTACTCTGTATTCTATTTAATATTTTATGTTTATTTTGTCGTCTTTATTTTGATCCATTCCTTCTGCAAATAACTACAACAAAATCATTTTCTATTACCATAAATGAGTGGTGCAAAGGTTCATACAGTAGGAATATAAAATTTATAAAGTGTGCTTATCCTTGGTAATTAAGCAGCACATCTTAAAGCCTCTACTTTACTACAAGAAGACAGTGACTATAAGAAAAATCACTGACAACTATGGGCATATCACTCATCTACTTAACTAATACCATAAGCAGATACTATATCTAACATCGGCTTTATGCAACGAAATTGCTTTTTGATACAGAATATTAAGTATTTCAAGAACACTCACATGACTCCTGAGTGAAGCACTGCTTTAAGAACAGACAAGAAATACAAAGTTACTGTGTTTGCATTCAAAAATCTCTCATGGCAGAAAAAAAATATTGGGGCATCTTTTTATTGTATTTTTTGTCTTTCTCATTTCATCTTACAAACACTACTGCGTTTATGTATCTGTAACACTGGACTTCTCTTTGGGCATATAAACATCACTACTTGCTCAAGTGACCAAGACACCAAAGTAAGGCACCAAGAAAATGCTTCAAGACATCAATAGGATATATTCCTTTTTCAATATTTCTAAATGTAATTTGTAAATTAATGAGATTAACTTTACTTCTTAGCATTTGTTTAAGTAGCATAGCACCTTGAGAATAAAAAAAAGAAAGAAAGAAAAAATGTAATCCAACTTCCATCCACCATATCTGTCAAATCTGGAAAACATTTTAAATAAAAAAGACAGACATACTACATGAAAATATAATGATAATTACATTTTCATCCCATTATGTATTTTAAAATTAAGTAGAATTTTGACATAACACTACAAGTGATTACAAGTTTAAGAATTCCCAAAGGAAACCAAAAACATTAACTGTTTCTGCAGTTCCATTATCCAAGTCTCTCTCCACTTCATCCTCGCCTGAAGGTTCTCACTGAGTAGATACTAGAGAGAATATAAAGTGCTGTGTTTACGAGACCCAAAGCCTGAAAAGTGTAAATTCTGGTCAGTGAAAAACAGCAAATGTATAAGAGAGAGAGAGAGAGAGAGAGAGAGAGAGAGAGAGAGAGAGAGAGAGAGAGAGAGAGAGAGAGAGAGAGAGAGAGAGAGAGAGAGAGAGAGAGAGAGAGAGAGAGAGAGAGAGAGAGAGAGGAGAGGGAAAGGGGGTGAGAGGGAGGGGAAGGGAGAGGGAAGGAGAGGGAGGGAGAGAGAAGGGGGGGAGGGAGGGAGAGAGAAGGAGGGAAGGAGGGAGGGGGAGAAGGAGGGAGGGAGGGATAGAGAGAGAGAGAGAGAGAGAGAGAGAGAGAGAGAGAGAGAGAGAGAGAAGAGAGAGAGAGAGAGAGAGAGAGAGAGAGAGGGAGAGAGAGAGAGAGAGAGAGAGAGAGAGAGAGAGAGAGAGAGAGAGAGAGAGAGAGAGAGAGAGGAGAGAGAGAGAGAGAGAGAGAGAGAGAGAGAGAGAGAGAGAGAGAGAGAGAGAGAGAGAGAGAGAGAGAGAGAGAGAGAGAGAGAGAGAGAGAGAGAGAGAGAGAGAGAGAGAGAGAGAAATTTCCTTTCACAAGATGAAATAAAGTTGAATATACTCAATATAAATTGGTTAAGGACTGATAAACATGAAGAATATATTACATACTAGTTTTGGTTGCTCTCCAGCAATTGTGAAGGGTTATGAATATCATGAGTGAGGTAATGGCAGTGACTGAGGTTTGTAGCACTACCTTCTTCTGTCAACGATTGCAGTGTTATGAAAGATAATTTTCATCTCTTTCTGTGGCCCAGGATATTATTGACAACAATGCCATCCCGATTTACAAACACTCTTGGATAAAATCTAATCCATAAAAATAGGGATAAAAGCCAATTGGTGCACATCTACCTTGCAATGAAAGTATAAAGAGAGAGGTGTAGAAGGCAATGTAACTTGCACTAAAAATATATAGATTATCTGTGTTTTAGAATAATATTAATCTTGGAATAGAAGTACATTTGCACCTTCATACCTTAAAATGATACTGGCAACCCTTAAAGATAACAAAGGCACAGACACTGTAATATATATTTCTTATGGCATCTTTCTACAACACTGTGTGTTTGTTTCCTTTTGGCAATTACACAGGTACAACAGTACAACAGCTAGATAATTATGAATATCTGAGAGGGATCAGGTTTTCAGCTTTTTTTTTTTCAAAATCATTCATGCTTTTTCTAACTTTGTGGCAATATAAACAAGTGAGAAATTACTGATACATAACAAAATTCATGCACTTTTAATTAAAGTGACTCATCTCATGCAACTTAAGTTACAGTATCATTCCTTCTTTAATTTTAATGCTACAGAAACATCCCATGTTATAATATGGGTGTGAAAATGAACTTTATAAAAATGCAAGTACATTTTTCTGAGATGGGAATTCTATATGCAGATAAAAAACTCACCCCTGAAAATATTTTTGAGTTGTAGCCTCTCTCATATATTTTATATCCTTCGTTCCTGGCCACCAGTTCCCTCAGTAGATTAATAGAAGAACACACTAGGAGGTAGGATAATGTACCGTGTAACAGGACAACCTATAGGGAAAGAGACCAAACCTCAGTCACCACACTCTTGACTCTAGTTACCTTTACAAACTACAGAAGAAGGCATTTAATGTGGGCTATTTGTGGTTTATGGAATCACTTTTTGCTGGTCAAAGAGCTCACATTACATACCTGAGGAAGGTCATTTTTACAACATACTGGTTCTTAATTGTATCCAACAGAGAATGATTCAATGTGCCCCTGAAATTAAATCACTGCTCAAGTGATCAAGACAAAAAAAAAAAAAAAAAAAAAAAAAAAAACACTTATTGGGAAGAACCAGGATGTTATATATATGCAGCAATCACAAAAAAATGCTTTCCATCTATAAAAATTTCAAGTACTAATAAATCAAGTACTAATACATCATAACAAAATTTCCATAACAATACACCATTACAATACACTTATAGGAAAGCCTTTCTGCGTTCTCTGCTGACATTAACATCAATAACTCTCATCTTGTACTTACACTCGCAGCCGTCTTGGCTACGTGATCCGCAACATAGTTCTTTTTTTCGGTAAGGTAAATGAGGAGATAAAGGGCAGATGCGAAGTATAGTAATGAAGACACAATATGATACATGGTCTCCTGCAGGACATAAAAATTATACTCAGCATGGGATGTGTAGAAACTTAATGACAAATAAAAAAACACATTATTGCATTGCTACAATAATTGATTATACTTTGGAAAAAATCCCATAAAAATGTACAAAGATAGAACTGCAATGAAAAAGGAAATTAATAATAATACATATATGTGTGGTGTTATATTATGTGTATAAACTATGTATACTTAGATATGCTATATAAAATCACACGTGCACTCTTTAATATATTTATATAAATATTAGTACGAACTATACATTATTACTTATAGTATCATAACAATACAAATACACAACCACAAGCAGTATAAATAATACACGTAACACACATAATCACATAATAAACTATATATATATTATTATAGTATATATATATATATAATATATTATACATTAAATTATATATAATACACAAACAGGATTAGAGTATTACACAATTCAATCATACGCACAATTCACAGACCGAGATATAGAATAAAAATACAAGAAAACCAGAGCGGACTATATGAAGAGAAAATTCATCACAACTAAGAAATAAAATATTCTACCGAGCTTGTGAGCAAAGAGTATAAATCAAATCATCAATAAGCTTTAATATATTGTCAAAACTTCTATTTATTTAATATTTATCATAAGCCCGTAGATTATACCGATTATATGCTGAATTAATTATTTTGCTTATATTTATATATTTCATCTTTTCAGTACTGGTTTTATATATATACAAACATATAAGTACCAAGATACTAATATTAAATAGAATATAGAATATACTTAGATTATCATAGACAAATTATTATTTAAGTTAAATGATGGATAAATATAATATAATAAAATATTATTTCTCACTCAAACGTCAATATCAGCAAAGAAAAGATAAAATTACAATACCACTACACATATATATACATTAGAGGAACACAATATTGGAATATATGTGATGCTATATTTTGCCGTTGCCCTTACACCGATTCACACAGATACAAGTTCATCACCTTCAGCGACAAACAAAACACTATATACGACTCATATAATAAACTACAATATATATATATATATATATAAGTATTACAAGCGCTAGTAATTGATTAATACTTGTATCTATATATATATAATATACTATATATATATTACAGTAATCATATATATATAATATATATATAACTATATATATAATATAAATATATATAAATATATACAATATAATATATAATATAAAAACATTATATATATATATATATAAATATTATATTAATATATAATATATATAATACATATAATAATATATATACTATAAATGATTATGATATATTATATATATATTATGTTATTTATATATTATTAAATTAATAATAAGATTAATATATATGATCTATGATTAGTAGGTATTAGTGTGTATATTGTATATATAATTATATTAAATATAATATAGATTAATACTATAATATATTTCATATATTAATATATTATATATATTTTTTTATATATACATATATATATTAGTAAAATATTATAATATTAATAATAATAATATATTTATTAAACTATACATTATATAAGATAAATAATTATTAATACTAATATAAATTAGTATTGTATTATATGTATAATATTATTATAATAATAATATAATATATATAATAATATAATATATTATATATATATATATATATAAATATATATAGTATATATATATAATTAGTATTTTGTTGCTAGTTGTAAATGCATGTCACACACTACTCACTATAACACACTCACACTGTCAAGTATAATCGTAGATACTCACACACAACTACACAACATACACACACAAACAACATCCATACATCACACTATCACACACACCAATACACCACACACACATTATATATTATATAAAGTAAAATAGAGATATTAATATATATATTAAAAAAATATTTTATACACACATGATTAATCACTATCATACAAATAACAACAACATAACACAAAATACCCACAACCACACACACATATATATATATAACACATCAACACATATGTGTGATTATTGAGTGTGTGTGTGTCGTGTGTTGTGTGTTGTGTGTGTGTGATGTGGTGCTGTGGTGTGTGTGTGTGTGTTGTGTGTTGTGGTGTGTGTGTGTGGTGTGCTTTGTGTGTGTGTTGTTTAGATATGGGAGATGTATGTGTTTGTGTGTGTGTGGTGTTTGCTCGAGCTAAGGCATTGCTGACAGCTACGCTATCACGAGTCTTATATAGGGTTTGATTTTGTGTTATTGTGTTGATGGTATGTATTTGAGTGAGTGTGTAGTGTGTGTGGGTTGATGTGTGTAGGTGTGTATGTGTGTAGATTGTGTTATGATGTGTGTGTGTGCGTGTGTGTGTGTGTGTGTGTGGTGTGTGTGTCGTGGTGTTGTTTTTAGTATATTTTATATATATATATAATATATAAATTATATAATATATATCAATTATATAATTAATATATAATATTATATTAAT